CAAAGTAAGAAATCTAAAATTTCTTCATTTTTAAATATATTACCTTTGCCTCCCTAAACTTCCCTTAGGGTCCTGCTTAATTTCCAACTCTATCATGTTTCTTTTCCGATTAAAAGAATATTCAACCTGAAACATTACGAACCACTTACAGTAACAGACAATATTGAATAATAAAATCAATATGCTCACGGCTCCAATGTTGCCCAAACAGCCGAAAAACTGAAGAGTTTTGAATTTAGAACGCAGCAAATACTATTTTTCAAACTTGATAACCTGAAAAATTGCGTGGCCGCCACCATAAATCCATTGCTCCAAAAAAGTCGGGAGTTCTTGTCCAGTAACATTAGAAACTGTTCGAAAAAACGACTGTGTCGACACTGTCATGTGCTGCCAATTCTTCGGCTCAGTTTGCTTTTGGCTGAACTGGGTTGTCACACTAAGAATTTTCTGCACTACCTGTTTAAAAATGACTGTCCGAGGCAATATATGTTCTAAGTTACAAATACCGTTGCAACAAAATGATTCTATACTTCATTTTCCTACTAAAACGAGTAGAAAGTAACTGCATAAATTAGACTGACAGTTAAGGTAAGCTCATGTAGGTAAGATTACTAAAACTTCACAAATTTCAAGGATTGACAAAAAGATGGTGAAGAATTGGGTAATGTGCTAATCGTGGCATCAGTCAAAGAAAACTAATTTGATGGCTGACGTAGCTATCATAGATGGAACAAAAGTTTACTTGAAAGAAAGGTTCTTTTCCTAAGCGTCTATTCAACATGCGGATTATTAAATGACCTTTTTTGAAAAGCACACTGGCATAGAGCGGCGAACACGTGAATGGATTACGTGGATCAAAATGCCATTCAAACTAAAATTGTTCGCGAATACCTTGCGTAACAATACTAAAAAAAGAACCGAATATTTTAGGATTTTTCAAACCTTGTTTTTTGGATCATTTTTCATAGGACGCAAAACAAGCATCCCCCACCGACTTTCGTAGTCACATACAGCATTTAATGTTCGTTTGATCTACAATGGACTTTCATTCTATCAAAAAATATATTTAAAAAAATACGTAGACAAAATCAGCTCGCGAAAAAAAAAACGACGCAATTAAAAAGTGTACCGTCTGTCACTCTAAAAAAAACACAACCAATGCATACAAAGAAAAAAAAAACCTGGAAGAGATATTCAGCGGTGCCAAAATAACGTTCAATAAACAGTCCAGTAAAAAACCTGTAACAATTTCAAGATAAAACGAGAAGTGAAGAAAAGTAAAATAAATCAAATTAACAAGAATTCTTCTTACTTCGATAGCGACTTCATCAGCCAAAAATCAAGCCAATGGGCAGCAGAAACGTAACAGCCAAAGAACTGTTCCGCAACAGCCTGTGCAAGTAACTGCCTTGTCTCCTTTAAAGAAATTCTTAAATAACTTTATGAAAATACCCTCTAAGATGGTGCAAGAAATACCTGGTATTATTATTAAGTAAAGAGTACCTGAACGCAGTCCAAAATTTTTTTGTGGTATAGTACAGTTACAGACAATATTGTGAGGCCGGAGAAAGAGTTTATCTCTTCGGCAACCTGAAACTAATAAACTAAATCGTAACTTTATCTTTGGAAAACAAAATCAAAACATAGATTCGATTCAAACCTGATCAACAAATACTTGTTTGTATGAGGAAAATGGAAATCGACATGACAACAACTCTTCAAAAAATTCAAAAACTCTGTCTACTGTAGAAGTTGTATACTTAACCAGCGGAGACAGAGATGGCAACGCAAACGCAGTAATCTAGAAAGAACAATAATGGGCGTATACTTCTAGCACTAATTTCAAAAGAAATTTAGTCTTTTTTTAATTAGTCTACCTCTGACATCTCAGGATGCACATGTGGTACAAAGTGTCCCACAGCAAACCCGATGTTTACAGCGGATGTAGGTATAAGGAGTTGATAGTGATAAGTCACTTCACGCATATCTACTGAATATTCGCTATGCTAAAGAGTAACTGTTAGAAAAACTTATTCAAATGAGATGCTAATACATCGAATATTATTTCAAAATAACTAACTAGCAACTCGCCACTCGCAATGGCTGTTAGAGAAGCGTCAACAGTAATTTCTATGCGCCAAAGACATAGCTGATCTGGTGCATCCATGCAAGGCAACCAAGACCGAGTGCTCGAAATCACGTTTGACCTACAAAGACATCTCAGAATAACAAAAATAAAAAATAAATTGCTAGGAAATGCGCTTAAATTTAATAGCATGCATTTGAATAAGAGCCAATTTAACTAGAAGTATAAAATTTGAATAAATATTACTCAGTGAAATATACCTGTGAGTATATACATGCGCCCCTTTCTCCATAGTATCATCCTTGCCAAACGAAGATACAAAGTGGATGCCCTTAAAAAGCCAACACTTTGCCACTCTCAGTGAACAAAAAGTCATATAGTCCAAAGTAATAAAACAAAGAAACCTTACATGCTTTGGGTTAATGACCTTCACATCAATACCAACTTTAATGACCATCTGTTCGTCCATACTATCATAACAACTCTCTGGGACGATTATTCGAAGCTCGCCCTCTGAGTCTTCTAAGACCTCATACATCTGGCTAGATAAGACACGAAGACTTCGCTCACACTTTTTTCCGAGAACCTTAAAATTTTATTTTAGGCAGTAATTTGAAAGAGTTAAACTAAAACCTACAAAAAACGTAGCGGTACAACTGACTCGGAAAGGATCTCTTCGCAGATAAATTGCATCCTCATCATTGACAGTGACTCTACCACCGTTCCCCTCCGGTAATTCGTTTGGTAATAACGCATCTGAGTTTCATTTAATTAGAAAAAGTTTCGGTTGAATAAGACATCCTATGAGTGTTATAAACTTCAAATGAATGAAGATGATAAAAATAATTACCACATCCAATATTAAGCAGCAATTCTCGTTGTTCGGGATGAATTGGAACTAAAGAAAGTTCTGTATAAACAGAAAATGAACATTCACGAAAGTTTATGTTTGATATGTACACTGACTGCGACAAAACCCGAAAATTGCAGTTGAGAAATACGGAAGTATCCTGCGACGATTCACCACCAGCACTAACACCTTCGGCAAATATCACTGGCGGAACCCCACTGCTTGATGGACCTTCAGTGCACATCCTTCGATAAATAACCCTTCAATTATTTACACGTCCCTAAAATTTTCAAATGATGCACTGCCAATCATAATTATTTATACAAACAAGTAACCACCATTTATTACACACAACAACGCACGCTATAATATACGATTCACAGCATTCGACAATACTGCATTCAAATTTACCGCAAAATATAGTTTTTTAATCGCCGACCTATCACCACTTTTTGCACATGAAGTCCTCATTCCAGCTTGATCAATGGGTGATAATTTAGGAGTTGTCTGTTTAATTCTTGATGACTTTTTAACAGCCTGACTTTATAATTGTTCCTCTCTATGGCCTTTCGTAATGTTACTTTGCCAGTGGTGCGTACTGTAACAAATAGTGACTGAGTTTCGTAAACAAAAACCTAGAAACCTGGAAAGTCCAAATCGATTCCTACATTTTGTAGATATTACCTTTTTTATCCTATTCATAATTTTTTAACTGCTTCTTTAGGTAGCTTCACTCGTTTTCTAAGGCTTCCCTTTAGATTGGTCATGGTACTGATCCCGAACGATAAAATCCAACAAAGCAGTTAGTATGAAACGGCTATGACTGCCGTAAGCTCGCTAATGACCGTAGCAACTTCACTGTGATGACCTAGGATGCAACTAAATATCTTCCAAAGTAAAATCTACAAAAAACGAACTGGTACCCGCAACTAGAAAAAAAAACCACACATATCCCATCTATATCCTTAACGTGCTCCCTAACTGATTCTTCAATGTTAACTAAAGACCGGCCAAGTAGCTGGGTTATATAGCACTTTTCGCACTTCCGACTGGAAGTTTAATCTAACCTTGTGGTTTCATTCGTTTAACTAAACGAAGAAACTGCCTAACATTACTGGAATCGCACAAACGACAGATGAAGGATGCAAAAAGGATACGGCAGAAGTACGTGCTTTAAAAAAACGCAACACCAGGTGGTATACCTAGCCATTTCTTCAGCCCTGTTCTTGCACTATTAAACTGCATGGTAAAAGTCCTTCGAATACAAACTGTACTTGCCGCTTGCAGAAAAAGATTCGTGAGAAATAATTTCTGTGGTAAAAAGACAACAGTGAGGAAACTGATAAACATATTTAACCACATCCCATCTTTCCTTTTGAACTTTTAATTATTGCAAACAAACGAACAGTGATGGTTCGACTCCGCCAAACGAGTTCTACACAGCAGCTTCACTAACTTCCAATAAAATGCTCGGAAATCGCCCTTATTTCTTACCGCAGCCAAAGCCTCAAAAGTCCGTACTCAAGCTTGGGTTTCAACCCTCTCGAATTATTGCAAAGACAATCGTAACAAAATGCTTTCATTATTCAAAAATATACCAATAAACAACGACGGGGGCGACTGTTATAAACATCCAGGACGACAAAAAAAAAGCACAACAGTACAAATCCAGGACGTAAATAAACTGCCAACAACACAAAAAGACACAACCCCTCAACTCAAACCCAACCGACCTAAAAGTCGCCTCAAATATGGACCGCGCTGTTAACCACATATAAAAAGCGTGTTACCCAATGACCAGCCGCTTTCGACCTTTCCGGCTAACTGTTGGCAGATTTCCCAACGTTCCAAGACCTGTTTATTCAACTTTCATCGTCGCAACACCTTCCCTCTTTCCCCATTTTGCATGAGTTATAACTTGAACAGCCAAAAAAGCCCAGTATTACTCAGTCATTAAAGGCTTTTAGAGAAAATACTAGGTCCATAAACTTCTTAAAAGCATAGAAGTGGCAAACCTCCAACCTCCCCAAACAGCGCAGTGCCAAAAGAAATATGAACAAAATCTAATTCCAAACGTCGCAATACTGAAATCAAAGAGATTTGAAAGATAAAACTATAGGCGCCGTCATTCCTAATTTCCATTTCGTGGC